TGTCATAATTATCTACTGAAAGTTGTAGTTAAAACACCAACTTTCCTAAGCACTATGGAAAGATGAGGCTCTGTCCTTTTATTGCTAAAATCTTCCTCAACTATAATGGGATGCTCATTCACTCTGCAAACTCAGTACTCCATCTCCACCCAGTACAATAGAGCATTGCTGAGGACAAACATGAAAGCCAAGGGCACTGAGCTCTTGTGGAGAATAGAACCACGACAGCAGATGTTTCAGCCAAGTTAAAAGAAAGAGCCTGTTTCTGACCATGCAGAGGACCTTTATGCTCCTGCTTTCATGTGCCACATCTTCAGCAAAATGAGCAGGCTGTTTTCAAGTGCAGGCAATTGCCAAAGAGATTCAGGTTTACTATTTTCTGTGTCTATAAAAGGGGACTGATTATAAAGGCATCAAAGTGCATTAAGGGTATAGGAATTTATCAGAACATTCCAGCAGGTCCTCAGAGATCAGAGGGGTGGTAATGAAGACAAGTTTTTGTCTTCAAAAACTACAGCTACTAAAATCTACAGCTTGATGAAAAACTGTTGAAAGTCTTCATGAAACATATTGTCTGGGTGATGAACTCCTACTGAGTCAAAAGGTTCAGAGTGGACACCCTTGCCAAACTTAGCCCCATATGTTACCAATGGTTTAGGTCTGAAGTTTTTAACAGCACTAAAAACTTAATAGCACTTAATCAATAGCTTAATTTAAATAATTTAATGAAAGATTCTTGTAGAATTTACTATAGCACAATGGCAACTCACTTATAGATCTAATTTACTTATGAATCTAATGTACTGAAGAATTTAAGAAACATTCATAAGACTGTAATGTGTTCAATACTCGCACACGCAGACTTAAAGTAGTATGTACAAGGCATATATATCCCTGTGAAATAATTTCAGGGAAGTACGCACATTGGACGCCTTTGGATCTTCTCAGAGGGTGAAGGGTTGATCCTGAGGAGCGGGGGTATCAGCCCAGGCTCTGTTATCTTCTGGCAGCAGTCCTCCAAGAGTTGTGTGACTCATGGTGGTGTTTCACTCAGAGGGAGATGCTGCCACAGCCCACTGCGGCCTGGGACAGCTCAGTGGATCTCACTTGGAACCATTGTTCATAGGGTCACAAGAGGGTGGGCTTTAGTCATAGTAATTTGCCATCCTGACCAAAATTCAGGTCAGTAACTTATTTGAAAGTTCAACTATAAAAATTTTGTTCCATTTGGGTTGTTAGTCAGGCAGGAAAAACAAGTTTCTAAGCTGTTCATTAAAACCAGGAGCTCATCAGACAGGGTAAGTTCCTGGGAGCAGAGAATATTTCTGAAAAGCTCAAGAGAAGCTCAGCCAGCTGCTGTTCATCAAGGCTGAGGCCTAATGAGCATTTCTGAGATCACAGGAGGAGAGGGTGGTTTTACCACCACAGATGTACAAGAGAAATATAATCATAAATGAACTGTAACAAACATAGCATTTTCAGATTACTGCTACTACTTTGCTACCACTGTGGAAAGGGAGCTCAGTGTCAAACGAAATAATCCTATGCAAACTACTTCCGGTGCTCAGTAACAGCTAAATAATCAAATTGAGAAACATTTGTAGGCCCCCAGAACTTTTGGTGCATCTGCAACCTTTGATACAAGGCACAGCTCTGCTCCTGCCTTCCATGTCTGAAAAAATACACCAAAAATACAAAAAATTATTGTGTTTTTGCAAGTGTAGGAATTACTACCCCTATGATACAGGTATCCACATTTATAGAATAGTTTGGGTTGGATGAAACCTTTGAAGGCCATCAACGAGCAGAGACATTTTCAATTGGATGGCAGAGCCTCATCCAACCTGACCCTGAGTATTTCCAGGGATGGGACAGCTACCATCTCTCTAGGCAACCTGTGCCAGTGTTTCTTCATCCTCATAGTAAAAATCTTCTTTCCTGTATCTAATCTAAATTGACCCTCTTCTACATTATCATCCTCTGTCCTATCACAATGGACCTCCTAAAAATCCTACTTTGTCCACATATTTCTTACAAGCCCCTCTAATTACTGCAAGGTGCTATGAGGTGTCTGTCCCTGGAGCTTTCTCTTCCCCAGGCTGAGCAACCCCAGCTCTCTCAGCCTGTCTTCATGGAAGAGGTGCTCCAGCCTCCTGATCATTTTTGTACTCTCTTCAACAGGTCCATGTCTTTCCTGTGCTGGGGATGGCCATCCTCTGGTACCAGATGGTCACTCAAAGCGTCTTCTCACAGCGCAGAATGTCACAGACAGTAAATCACAAGAACTATCATTACACAAGGAAAATATCCGAATCATATGTAGCCACCTACTCATTGAACTGCACTTTTGTTTATTTTGTTAACAAATTGCAACATTTGTTTATAAATATAAGTGTCTACTCTGCATATATTGCAGTATCACACTGGCTATACTTAGTATTTCCAGCAGAAAAAGAAACTCTGAGTTATGATCTTTCTTCCCTAATCTCTGGTTCTAATTATTCAAAAGAAAGATGATATATTTTGCTGCTTTGCTCTGTCTCCCAAGCAGCTAAAAGCTCCTTAAAGATCCAAACACTATCAGCGTCTTTCAGACAAAAGAGGATTAATTGCCCTAGGAAGCACTACTCTTGGAGACACAACACAACCCTTTATTCACTTGCTTTTGGGAGCAGAAATATGTCCAGAACGTGGAATTGAGGTGAAAAAAAAAAAAGAAAATCCGCTTTTGCTGTATTATGAACAAATCCCAACTGCAAATCAAATAAACTGACAGAACTGTTCAGTGCTTACTGTAACAATAACCTGGCTAAAAGTACTACCAAGATGAGTTTCTTAACCTTTAAAAAGAACAAAGCAAAACAAAAACCAAAATCCGAACCCAACTCAACAGCACCTGCTAATGCATCCTGCTCAATCCCAGAGCATTAAATGTTATTCTACAATACAGAAGATACTAAAAGGCTGGCACTGGGATACAGGTTCTTGTTATATGCCTCTTCTCTTTTTTTCTTGAATTTTCTTTGAAACATACACTAATATAGGCTGATAATTGTGGATATATATACTGAAGTAATACTTTTTCTTCCAGGTGAAAGTTCTGAATACAGAATAAATCAGGAATAATCCCGGCTGCAAAGAAAGCATTGATCATGGATTTGTAATGCCAGCAAATAAGAAAATGGACAGGAGATCAATAACATTCATTAGAGGTTTATCTACAGCTCAGTTTTAGATCGACACTAAACACAAATCTGTCATGATCCTGAACAGCAATGGTCAGAAAAACTAGCACTGGATTTACCAAACTGAGAACAAAACCTGCAGACCAAAATGCTTCACTGTAAAGTACTGAAATATCTTCCACAGAATAACTCAAGGTTTTCTTGCTGGAGGTGTACATGTTGTTCGTCCACATCTACTGATTGCCACTTACATTACTTATTCAAAATTTTTCCCTTCCTTCCTCTGCAACTCCAATGTACTTGCTTCACTAGTCTGGGGCTCTTGGGACTGCTAACATAGGAGAAAAGAATTAAGGCAATACAACTGAATGATAAAAATTGGAATTTGGAATGCATGCTAATATATGGATGATATAACCTTCCATAAACACTGAAGGACAGCTGGGACTAGCAAACACAAAAGATAAGTTAACAATCTGAAGAATTAAAGCATTGTTAAAAGTCTCATAACAAAGCCTGTGCAATGGGGGAAGTAAGGCTGACATCTGAGCCATTTTCACAGTCAGTAAAAGCTGGTAAAACAAAGCAGATCCCAAGAGGACAAACAAAAAGCTTTTCAACATAGGAACAGCCAAAACAGTCATCCTTGGAGGTTTTCCAGACCCGACTGAATGTAGGCTGGAGCAACCTACTCCAGCCATGCAGGCATCCTGCCTTAAGCAGGAGGTTACATTACATTACTCTATATTGCTTCCAATGTGTTTTATGTCCCCTGGATCTTATAAAATACAATGTTTCTGTACATTATTACATCAAAATTAGAACACAAGATTAGGCAAAATATTTAAATACTATTTTTAAGAGTGTCTATAAACATGAAACTGGATACTGAGCAAGTTCACAGATGATACAAAACTGGGAGGAGCTGCTGACTCCCTTGAAGGTAGAGACCTTGACAAATCAAGAGGGATGGGCAATCATGAACCATCTGAAGTCCAACAAGAAAAATTGATGGATTCTGCACCTGGCATGGGGCAACCCTGGATGGACAGACACACTGGGGAATGAGATGCTGGAGAACAGTGCCACAGAAAGGGGCCTCGGAGCCCTGGCTGATAGCAAGTTCGAACTGAGCCAGCAGTGCCCTGGCAGCCCTGGGGGCATCAGGGCCAGCATGGCCAGCTGGGCAAGGGAGGGGATTGTCCTGCTCTGCTCTGCACTGGGGCAGCCTCACCTCGAGTGCTGGGGGCAGTTTTGGGTGCCACAATATAAGAAAGGCTTTAAACTATTGCAGAGTGCCCAAAGGAGGCCACAACGATGGTGAAGGGCCCTGAGGGGAAGCCGTGTGAGGAGTGGCTGAGGTCACTTGGTCTGTTCAGCCCGGAGGAGACTGAGGGCAGACCTCACTGCAGTCACAGCTTCTTGTGAGGGGAACAGGAGGGGCAAGCACTGATCTCTGCTCTGTGGTGACAGTGACAGCATCTGAGGGAATGGCCTGAAGTTGTGTCAGAGGAGGTTTAGGTCAAATATGAGGAAAAGGTTTATCACCCAGAGGGTGGCTGCGCACTGGAACAGGCTCCCCAGGGAAGCTCCTGACAGAGCTCAAGGAGCAATTTGACACTGCTCTCAGGCACATGGTCCTGTGCAGAGCCAGGAGTTGGACTCCAGGATGCTCATGGGTCCCTTCCAACTCAGCATATTCTGTGATTCTGCAAATATACACATTTATGCAATTTTTCATAACTCAGGAAAAATATAACTAAATACTTTGAGAGTACATTGACAAAGGTATCAACAAATGTTCAGGATTTAAGATGGGGCTTCTCAAATGGTATAGAAAAATATCTCTTAGACTTCAGCTTGTCCTCATGAATACACATCACTAAGGAGAGACAGGAATTTCAGAAAAGGGGCTGAAGAAAGAAAATATTTATCTGTCCAAAAGGCTGAAAAAAGAAGTACATTAAATGCAAAATATTTTATTTATTGCAAACAAAAGCTGTGATAACAACATTGCACAATACTGAATTTTAAGGTTTTGAAATTCTCAAAAATCACTCTTGTGACTTTTTTTGCTCCATATATATCTTTATATTTTTACATTAGTTTTACATTATGACAATAGTAAATTACTTACAGAAATTAAGACAAATTGTATATAGCCTGCCACCTTACTAATGTTTCCTTTATATGCACCTGAGTGTAACCATTTAACTTTGATCTGAAAGGATGATCAGATTCAACGCTTGGCTAATCATACAACAGAATGATGCAGTCTGCACCAATAGTTTTTTAAACAATTAGAAGTATACGGGAATTTACTGTGTGCTGTGTGTTTTCTACAAAATGTAGGTAATAACTCACTTTGTTACCTTACTAGAGAAACAATTTCTCCCTTTTGTGTAAAATCTCCAGCAAAAATGCAGACAAATGCATAAATCCAGTATTTTCAGATCCAGTGCTGCACAGCCTGGAGGGCAGTAGTAAAAGTCCTGAGTGCAGGATGGGTCCCTCGATGAGCCATCAGGAGAGACCCGGCCTCTGCACTGAACCCTGCTTCCTTAAGCTGCTGTGCAATTTCCTGCACATCCCAGCCTCCCTGCCCCTGGTTAGCCAGGAGGTGATCAATAAGGCGTGGGCAGAAGGCAGTGGACATGCACTTCACCACCAGCTTGGCATTGAGGAGCAAGGAGAGTATTTCAGCATCACAAGTGGAATCATCAACCTGCAAACAAAGAGAAATTCAAAGTAATTCAAAATTAATTACCAGATACAGCCTTCAGCCAGAACATGTGATGATGGTTCTGACAGTGTGACCTTCAAAGTGAGAGGAGTATTCCCCACAGATTAACTACAGGCATAGAGCCTTTGCATATGTCAGAATATGTAAAGATATGTCTTTAACACTCTACCACATTAATATAAATATCTGACCTGCACAAAGTTAAGGAATAAGAATGCTTAACAGCCTGGGATTACATCACCAGCTTTACAGACTTTTCACAGGTTTTCAGTCCCAGTGCAGCACAGATCACGCTATTTAGCTCCATATCAAGAATGACACTCTGAGGAAGGTCAGAGCAGAGTATATTACATTTTGGTCACTTTATATTAATATATTACATTACATTTCACATGTTAATTATGACAGGCAACATTCACAGACTCAATCCGCACCCACAGCAAGGATGAGATTTTCAAAAGAATATAACATATTGAAAGATGTGAAACAGAGCTGCTACCTCTGAGAGAGATCCTGGATGCCACAAAAAATATGGTTACTCGATAAATGAGAGCATAATACTTTCTTGAGAATCTTGTCTGTAGCTTTACAAATAACACTATAGAATATTTTAAATACACCCTATGGTAAGTTATTTAGCAACCTTGAAGAGCAACTCAACAACTGCTACACAGGACCACAGGACATGACTACTGCATAAAGGGTGATTGGCACTGATACTTTACAGTTGCAATCGAGCCATTTTTAATCTAATTAGCACAGAAGGTCCAATTTACAAAACAGTTCTAAGAACTGTAGGGATGTCCAGCCTCTAGGCTACCCAATCTTAGTCTTCAATTATTTAGTAACTGCCAAAAGCTAACTACAGAAATGTTTTCCTGTTGAAGACAGGCTGATCATTAAATAAAATGGGTCAAGAAACAGCTGAACATGAGCCAGAGTGTACCCAGGTGGCCATGAAGGCCAGTGGCATCCTGGCCTGGATCAGCAATAGAGTGGGCAGCAGGACCAGGGCAGAGATTGTCCCCCTGCACTCAGCACTGGTGAGGCCACACCTCAAATCCTGTGTGCAGTTCTGGGCCTTGCACTTGCAAGAAAGACACTGAGGTGCTGGAGCACGTCCAGAGAAGGGCAAAGGGCTGGGGAAGGGTCTGGAGACTGAGTCATACGAGGAGCTGCTGAGGGACCCGGGGGTGCTTATCTCAGAGAAAATGAGGCTCAGGGGAAATGTGAATTTCCCCTGAATTCAGGGGAATTATTGCTCTCAACAACTGCCTGAAAGGAAGTGACAGTCAGATGGGGGTCAGCCTGTTCTCCTAATTAACATGTGATAGGACAGGAGGAAGCATCCTCAGGTCGTGCCAGGGGAGGTTTACACTGGATATCAGCAAAAGATTTCTTTATGGAAGGAGCTGTCAAGCACTGGAACAGGCTGCCCAGGAAAGTGGTTGAGATTTGGTTTGGAGAGGAGTTTGCAGTGCTGAGTTAACAGCTGGACTTGGTGACTTCACTGGTATCTTCTAACCTAAACAATTCTGATGCCAAAATTTCTAGTGTTGGCATCTTGCAGCACACTATGACATTATCCAAACAGCTGCCCTCTCTTCTGAAATGGGACTGAAGGGATATTCTCTCCCACCTCAAAGCCCTGTGTGCTCTGTTCTTAACTTGTATGTAGAATGGGACTTTACACAAGGTTTCACTGTTTGATTTTATGAACATAAAATGCAAATAGTAATTACAGTAGTGAGACTGAGAGTAGATGCAAGGTTTAATTTAAGTTTTTTTAGGCTACTATTCAGTTAGAAAAACTGCTATAGATTAGCATGATTTTATATACCAAAAACCTACAAAATTGAGAGAGACAATCTGAAAGAACACTGTTCCTAGCATAAACCAGTAATCATCTGAGCTATACTATGGGGATGAAGATACCCATGCAACCCACAAGCAGAGAAACCTGTCTGCACTCACAAAGAAATGAGATCAGTGTGGTTTCCCACCTAACAAAACACTACACAAAAAGGCTCTTGGGTTGTGCCCCACAGCTCATCCTTAGGCCCAAACAGATCAGTAGGTTTAAACTGATGAACATTTCCCAGACTTGCAAACTGTCTGAAGACCTGGTAAGGAAGAGAAAACTTTTGTAATTTAGTTGTCTCCAGGCAACTGGATGGAGACACATGATGGCAACCAGACCCTGTGAATGCATTTCATGCAGCTAAGGCCACTGTTTGTTCCACCATTCTTTGGTAAGTCATGAAGAGTCTGGCAGGTGTGGGAAGAACACAGAGACACCAGGATTTAATGAGAATTGCATTTAAAAACAGGCAGCAAAGAAAGCTCAACTGACCAGTTTTAAAGCTCCAGATCATGCCAATTTTTGGGGTATCAGTTGCACATATAGAGACATTCTTAGTCATTAGTTTAAATAAAAATAAGAACTTAAGAGAGATTGTCAATGAACTGATACATCTTTACAAACCTTGAGACAGCTTATACACTGAACAGCTCTGTTTAAATAGAACTGTAAGATTTTTTTTAATTAAATCAATGTAAATGCAGCTTAGGACTACAGTTATTTAAAATTAATTTAAAATCAGAACAACCAGTATTAAAGTTTAAAAAAACCTACTACAACAATATAAAAGGCAAACACAGAAAGCACATATTTTTAAAGAAATACACCATAGAGAGTATATTAAGTTTTTTATGCAGGAAATTGCTCAGCAAAACTATGACTCTCCAATCTAAAAAAGAGACGGCTTCGAGGGCATAGGGCAGATAGCAACATCACCAAAGTTGTAAAGGGATTAACTAAAAACATTATCTCATTAAGAAAGTAAAAAATATGAAGCATCAAATTAGCGTAGTGGGATCAGATTATGAGAAATTTTTAAAAAATAGGCTTTTTTCACTGCTGAATTGTCTGCCATATAATACTTCAAGATGCAAAAGCTCATCCAAGTCTAAGGAGAAATTGCACAAAACCAAGAAAGAAAACCACTGGCAATTACTAAGCAGATACACACAGCTGAAAATAACCAAAAGTTTGGAAAGTAATATTTCAGAGAAAGAATAGGACAGATGTACAGGCTCTTACTCCACACCAGACTTGTAATTCTTCCATCTGTTCGAGCCAGGATGCTGTTCCAGATGGCATTTTGATCCTCAAAATGTTACATTTTTAAAAATATTAATGGAAATCAACCTCTAGAATTATTTTTACTTGCCATACATACCAAATATTAGCCTACAGTTGATACAGACTCCTAAACACACACATTTTCAAAATCACTCTTTTGAGTCCGTAAGACAGTAAAACCCAGCAAGTAAAAAACAACCACCTTACTATCTGTTGTGGTTTGACCAGGAGGTCAGTTTCTGGGAAAGTTATGGTCAAACCAGTCAGTGGCCAGATTTGAAAATGGCACCTGGTGTGGCTACTGGGGACTTGGATACGCCTCTGAGAACACACAGGGGTTAAAAGCAGAGCATTCCCAGAGAGACTTCCTCTTTGGAGTCTGGCCCCAGTGAGTTGATCTGACCTCTCCTCTGCCCAGCTGCATCTGGGTGGGGGAGGTGGAGACCTGGGATAGTTTGGGCAGCCCCCTCAGGAGAGAATGATAGAGACTGTGCAGGCTGGAAATTTGATATCTTGTGCCCGCACCACGGCTGGCACTGTGCCAGGGTCAATCCATGACACTATCCCAGTTTTAAAAAGCTGTCTTTTCTGGGAAGACAGCTCAGTCAAGATCTTACTAATGAATCACTTCCGATCTGCCTGCAGATGCAGAGCCTTTGCAAGACCCTAACTAGGCCATAAAACTAAGACTATTGCTAATCCCAGAATCACTGTTCCAGTCATATGGAATACAGCTGACTGCAGTTTAAGGAGGCCTCAGAGGTGCAGGTTATCTTCTGCACAAATTAACACCCAACCACTTTCCATATTGTGTGGATAAACTATGACCCACAATAATGACAGAATCAGTGTATATGTAAAAGAAACACCATTACACCTATCAAGAACTCTACGCTAAGGGTGATAAATTTTTCATTACAGTTAAATCTGGAAGGTTTAAATGGGAGCAGCTTTCATTTTTCATATCCGTCTCTCCTTCAGCAGAATTTGTCAGTGTAGATTTAGCATGATGCCCACACACAATTGTAGCCATGATATTATGAAAAATACTTTGCTGGGATTTTTCCTCTCCTGAGAAGCTGAGGAACCTCAGGAGAGAAAGGTAAACAATTACTATCTGCTGCTGTGGAATGCAACAGGTGCATCTGTGATTGGCCCATGTGGATTGTTTTCCACTGATGACCAATCACAGCCACCTGTGCCAAGGCTGTGAGCAGTCACAGGATTTTGTTATTCTATTCTGTTCTGTTCTTGTTGAGCCTTCTGATCTCTCTGTTCTTTAGTATAGTTTTAATGTAGTATTTTAATATAATATTTAACATAATAAATCAGCCTTCTGAAATGGAGTCAAGCCTCGTGTCTCCACACACGGAGAGTTCGCCACAACACACAATGTCCATGGTTATGAGTACAAGACCTAATGGGGATAATTACATTAAGGAGAACTGACATTTTTCCCTTGTCTTTCCTATTTAGGTATTGGTTAATATCTGCTTTCAAGCACTGAGGTGTAGGCATTCAAGTGGTACCTTTGCTCTTATGAGAACACTTGGAAGTACTGCATCCAGGTGGGTCTCCAGCACACAACATGGACTTGTTGGAATGGGTCCAGCGAAGGTCATGAAGACAATCTTAGGAGCACCTCTCCTATGAAGACCAGCTGATAGAGCTGGGGTTTTCAGCCCAGAGAAGAAAAAGCTCTGGGAAGACCCTACAACAGCCTTTCAGTACAATAGAGCTGGAGATGGATGCTTTACAAGAGCATGGAGTGATAGGACAAGAGGAAATACCCACTCTAAACCAATCCTCTTACTTTAAATGGTTTAGATTGGATATTAGGAAGAAATTCTTCACTGTGAGGGTGCAACAGGTTGTCCAGAAAAGTTGTGGATGCCCAAGCCCTGGAAGTGTTCAAGGCCAGGATAGGCTTTGAACAGCCTGGTCTAGTGGAAGGTGTCCCTGCCCCTGCAGAGTTTGGAACTAGATGATCCAATTCCCCATCAGCAATGTTTGTGCAGGCATCCAGAGGCTCTGGCATTACTAACAGGCAAAACTGCACCTGTAACTTCTGCATCAGAAAATCCATAAGTTATGAAAGAAAAGGGCTGCTGATGACCTAACAGCAGTAAAGAACTAAAACCGCTGTATCCCAGAGCATTCCCTTCTCCAATACCACCCGAGATGAAAATGCTTTTCTTTTTATTCCTTCCTGGAGTATAGATCTATAGAACAAAAAAATAAGGGGTAAAGAAATAAGTGACATAAAAATCCTGGAAAAATGAAGTGGATAAAGATATTTTATCATAATCACCATTAGCTTATAACTGAACTATTTTTTTAAAAGATTAAGCCCCAGTAAGTGAATAGCCATAAATGGCATACACTGGAGAACACTAGAAATTCCATTATTCCACACAAAAGATGTGATTTTTCATATTACATTTTTCAGTAAAACATATTATGAAGGTAGATTCAGTACTTCATCACTGAAATTATAACATGCAAATAAAGCTAGGGTATTTTTTCAGACTACAACATTGTTCTTGTTCCACTTTCTATTAAAGTATTGACTGAACAAGTATTTGCACTGCTTAAAATAACCCCCACTTGTTAGCTGTTTTAACATTATAGGTACCAACATGCAATAGAGTATTTACTTGCTCTCTCAGATGTATAAAAATCAGTTTTCATCTCTTAAAGTGCACAGTGCACAGACAACACTGAAATCCCTCTCAAAAACAATCTGACTTTTAAGGGCTCTATTGCCAATAATAAGGTTATTTAGGTAAACTGTGTTTTTAAATTACTCACGCAGTACACAACATAGGGGAAGAACAGTTATTTTTGTTACTCAGAAAAGACAAGTGGCAGTTCATTTAAAGATACACAATAAAAAGAGGGGTCTGCAATTTCGAAAAAGCTTACACAAAAATTTGGTTGGTTTATTACAGGCAAAAGCTGCACAATTTCTAGTATCAGCACTTCAGCATCATCCTTAACTGTAAACATCCATAAAGCTGTCAGCAACATACAACAAATGGCTAACTAATACATCCTATCAGCAAGCAAGTGCTGTATTTTTCTCGCAGCCATGTTTGGGAGCTGTGTTAGCTGTGGATCGGGGAATCAATAGCCATGATTCCCCTCTGCCAGATGTTATTTGTCTGTTTCCTGTTTAATGTAAGCAGAAATGGTCTTCCTATGAAAAATTAATTTAGAATTTGACAAAAAGCATTAACTGCCTGAATACTGTTTTTTAAAAAGCAAAAAGTATGCATAGAAAATGATACTGAATAAACAACATTGGCATAGCTAAGTAATATATGCTCTTTCAGTACAACAGCAAATAATGCAATCATAAGAGATGCATATAAAACAAGGAGCAAGAGGTACTTTTTATACAATACAGGAATAGCTTTTACATTTAGCACAGCATTCTTCTGTACTGGCTGCTTTTCTAACATTGTCACATTCCAGGTACTGGCTAAGCTCTATGCCTGATGCAATAAAGTCAGCAGTTATATCTTCATTCACTTAAAGTAACATATTAGACCAAAGCTAACTGCTTCCAAAATTCCAGGTTATTCAGCACTCTTACAGAACCATAGCTCAAATTAATACTGAATTTAGAAGAAAAAACTAGAAACCACTTATCATGCTGCCTCCTGTATAAGAAAGCCAAAAAAACCCAAAATTATTTTGGGCATGCACAGGTATACAAAGTGCTTTATACTAGCAAGAAACTAATAAGGTTCCTGGCTCTAAAACTCCAATATAATGTAATCAGCCTAGAATGTAGGAAAGCTGGAGCACACTAGAAAGAAATTGCCAGTTTCAAGAGCAATACAATTAGTAACCATTCAGAAACTGCTACTGCACAGCATTATGCTTTAAAAATAGTTAAATAAAACGCATTTGGACACTTATTCCTGCTGACAAGCTTCAAAATTAGTCAAAGAAGTCAATTTTAAAAGGCTAACAAGAACACAGAGATGAGAAAGTGCATGCATATATCAGATTATCAGATTTGTGCTTGCTTTTCAATGAGATAATCTTGTTTAAAAGTTATCAAAAAGACTTGTTTTGTAGAAAAAAAATCTGAAATTGCAGGTGGCAAAAGAAAACAATCAATGTACTATTGTTTTGGCAGTTAATATTTATACAATTGTTTTGTAAAAAACTCAGATAATTCGTGGTTAGGAGATTAAGTTTCATCTTTTTAGGTGCTCCTTATTTGCTGAAAAGCAAATACACAGGGAAAAGGCAGTTATGTAATGTTATATAGCAACTGACAAATATGCATTAATGTCTTCCAGTTCTTGTCCAAAGAAAAACACAGTATTTAGATTTCTTCTCCAGAAACTCTGGCATCCAGTCAGTTTAGAATGGCAGGAAAGTCCCCAAACATGCCATCCCATCAAAACCAGTGACATAACAGCTCTCCAAGTGTATATCAACAGATGCCACATTTGTCAGAAACAAGCTGAGTCATCTGACATACTATTATCACTTGAAAAACCCAAAAGTGAGGGAATATGAACACAGAGGTAACAATCTACTTCATGTATCAGAATCGCTTCTGTTCCACCACACTGACATAAAACAGCACACCAAGTATTTAAAGAAAGTGCTATGAGGTTTAATCACCTCAAGTATGTATAAAAGCTCTTACCAGCCCTGTGTTATTGCTCACTGTGGACACAATAGCTGTGGAAAACCTTAACAATGCTAAGTGTCTCAGCAGTCTCTGCTTCCTACACCAAGATAAAAGAGCTAACTTATTACCTCAGCCTCTGAAAGGTGGTTCATTCAACTGTTCATACCTTAGCAACAGCTGTTATCTGCTCCAGTGCCACAGCATGAAGGTCTTGGTCTTTGCTTTCTACCAGCAGTTTCAGGGATGGCAGCAGGAGGGACTGGTTAAGCAGCAGCAAACATAATTCTTTTATACACTGAAATAAAAAGTAAATTCTCTCAGCGTGATCTCTGAAGATACTAACATCACCATTCACAATAAAATTTATGAAAATTTTATGTCAAATACAAAATGAAAACCACACTTCCACAACCAATGAACTCCCTGTTAGAAACACATCCTTGGAAACTAGAAAGAACAAATTTTAAAAATGTGGAAAACTGGTTGAAGTGCCACATTTGTTAGATTAAGACAAGGCAGGTACTGAATCACCATTACAACCAGGAGTTTTACTGAAAAATAACAGCAGTCCCACAGCTGTCTGTGGGACTAACATATTTGTGCTTACTGAAATACTGCAAAACACAGGAAGAAATGCTGACAGACACCTGTGACAATTCTGTAACTCAATTATGCAATCAGAAAAGTAGAACAAAATAAAGAGGAAATAACAGTACATACCAGAATTGAATAATGTTTCTGTCGCAAAAAGCTTCAAAATTTTATACAATATTTTATACACAATTAAGGTTTAGCAAATTAAGTTTCTGCCATTCATCTAGTTTCCTATATTTGATAGTACACCATAAATTTAGCATCACACAACTTCAAGACAAAACTGGCCAGAAAATAACTTCTAAAATAAAAACAAAAACATCCCTCAACAAATCTACTGCACACTTTCAAAACTTTACCTTTTCCCTTAGATAAGCAACCAAACAACATGTCCTACAAGTGAGCAGTTTTATTTTCCTCAATATTGTAGTGACTTGTCCATTTATATGTCAAAAAGTATTTCAACCTACAAATTATATTATAAATCAAATTATAACTTCCCTTTCCCTTTTTGTCATTTCTGAGAATTTAGGTTGCTTGTCACAACCACTTCCCAACAAGGCCCATCAGAGATGTCCCATTTTCCAAGGCACTTTACACTAGGGACTCTGGATATTGTATGGTAGTTACATTGAAAATGGTATCCATCTCTTAAGAGATGCTCACTGTTTCACTCGAACAATTTGAGAGCAATTGTCAAAGGAGCTCATCAGCTAAATATTAAGCTAAGAGAATGCAAGTCATGCATTTTTTATGTCTTTTGAACTTTAATGATAACTGTAACAATTTAATGACCAAGATGATCCACACATTTAGTAGCATAGTTTCAGCAGCTGTGAGCCTAAAAGCCTAATTATTATTTGAAGATGAGGAGACATTAAATACTCCAAATGTAATGTACTGCACAGATATATGGCTTTGCTTGGGACAGGGAGCTCTCTGGCTGTACTTGCTCAGTCTTTTCTAAATTTACACCTTCAAGAAAAACAGCCTGGAAGGATACATTCCACCACACTAAGCTCTGAGTCACTAAGGCAAGCCTTGTTCTCTTATTCAGACTTGTTTCTTTACACTCACATTCAGTACTGCTACTGATTGTCGCTGCTTAGAATCACACAATATACTGAGTTTGCTTGTGGGAAGGGACCCACAAGCAACACCAAAGTCCAGCTCCTGGCCCTGCACAGGACCATGCCCCAAAGTCACAGAACATGCCTGAGAGCATTGTCCAAATGCTTTGTCAACTCGGTCAATCTTGGTGCTGTCACCACTTCCCTGGGGAGCCTGTTCCAGTGCCCAACACCCCTGGGGAAGGAACCTTTTCTTAATATCCAGCCTAAATCCCCTGACAAAACTTCAGGCTATTCCCTCAGGTCCTGTCCCTTGCCACCACAGAGCAGAGATCAGTTCCTGCCCCTCTCTTCCCGTCACAAGAAGCTGTGACTGCAGTGAGGTCTGCCCTCAGCCTCCTCCAGGCTGAACAGACCAAGCGACCTCAGTCATTCCCCACATGGCTTCCCCTCAGGGCCCTTCACCACCACCCTCATGGCGCTCCCCTGGACTCTCTCCAATACTTTAATGTCCTCTATTGTGGCACCCAAAACTGCCCCAGTGCAGAGCAGAGCAGGACAATCCCCTCCCTTGCCCAGCTGGCCATGCTGTCCCTGATGCCCCCAGGGCAGGGATGGCCCTCCTGGCTGCCAGGGCACTGCTGGCTCGTGTTCAGCTTGGCATCAGCCAGGATCCCCAGGCTCCTTTCTGCAGCGCTGCTCTTCAGCTTCTCATTGCCCAGTCTGTAAACCAAGGCTTGCCCCATCCCAGGTGCAGAATCCAGCACTTTCCCTTGTTGAACTCCACACAGTTAGTGATTGCCCATCCCTGTGATTTATCCAGGTCTCTCTGCAGGGCCTCTATATTTGAGGCAGTCAACAGCTGCTCCTCCCAATTTAGTGGAATAGGCATGCTTCTTCACATCATATCTTGTGAATGATATGATGTGGATCAAGGAATAAGAAGACTAAATAAATACATTAAGCTTCATCTGAGCATTCATATGCTTATTAAACTTCTGGTAATTTCATATTCCACTGGATTTACTGGATTTCTTTTGACCTGCATACGTGCCATTTCAGCAAAGTTACTGAAATGAAAACTCATGGATTCACGCTACACTTCTTCTTTCCTTGAAAATGTGTATTCACAGCAATATTCAGAAAAATTCTGAGAGTCACAAAATACATAATCTGAGCAATTTTACCCTGCTTGGTAACAGTTCCCTCTCAAAACCAGCTGGACAAGTTGAATAACTTTCTGCCTGATGGTAGCATGTCTAGCAGACACACTCAGTCTTAACTACCATGCCCAAGTACAGAAAAAGCCCTAATCTCTTTTGAAGAAGGAATACCCATTCCAACAACTGCATTTCTTTTTCCACAGGAAGGGACTGGACAGCTTGCCAGCCATGGAAGACTGTCCAAATAGTACAAGTATCAACTTGTATCACTGCCACTAATGACTACATGGCTGCTCTGGACTGGAATTGAAAACCCAAGCCCAGGAAGGAAGTCATCACACACAACACTTCACAGAGCAACATAAGTGGGTTTCTGTTCTGCAGTGAGCACTTGAAAGCATTCAAGTGTCTGCTGCCTGCCATGAGAGGCACTGCTTAGGGAGGGTTTGATGTTATCTGCGAGAAGGTCAAGGGAAGGCCCCATTCAAAATCTGAATTACCATGATTTAGTTGAAACTTTTGTATGACAACTTTTGTCTTCTCTCTAGTTATGCAGCTATCAGTGGCTCACTGGGACAACAGCAAGGCAAATAAACCATATGCCATAAGAGTCTGTTTGGGTTCAGTATTATTCAGTATTTTCATGAATGGCTTGAAGGGCCGGATAATGAGTACAAACAGCATTATGTCTGGAGAGGGTAAAACCAGACTGAAAAGCAGCATTTAAATTCAACATTATCTGAAGAAAATTAGCAGACACAACTGTTTATGGACAAAATCGCACAATCTAAAATAATATATATACCCCAGGAAAAACTAGCTACAAAATTAGAAAAAAAGGAGACCAACTGTCTGCTGTATTATTCTAGAAGATAAGTATCTCAGCCTCTAGGACCCCAGCATGATTACAGATAAGGGACTAGATGCATTCTCCCATGTTAGCTGACACATGACCCACAGACTGAGAGAAGAACATGAGATATTCAGAGGAGTCACATTTTTAACTACTACAAGGGGGAGAAGGATTTATCCCTTTCTAAAGAGATTAATGAGGCAGTGGAGATGTTGCACAGTCCCAGCATGTGTCTTCCAGGCAAATAAAACAATTGTTTCTTCCACTAAAAGGAATGGTGGTATCTACCCATTGAATAATGCCAATTAATACCCTAAATAAACAAATAACCCCACAAAATACCACCCAACAAAGCAAACAGAGACACAGATACAACAATTAAAGCTATGTAACTATCCAAAAGACATGAAAAAAGTATTTGGCTTAAAAAACTAGACAGACCAGTAGGATATGGAATGAAAAAAAAAGAGTTAAATCCTTCACGACTATATTCAAAGATGTTTTTTCTAACTTCTAGACCACATGAACTGAAGTTATGTGTGTTTTCCATTACAATCTTTGAACTTGGCACGGTTGTAATGGGGGAGAACTTGAATGGCAAATGTTTTTTCATGATAACTGGTTTCAGTTTTGAGAATTCCATCATTTCAGATTTGTCATCTTAATCAGTCTATTTACTGAAATGTCAAATCATCTAAACAGGTTAATTGTCAGTGATCACATTTTCACCTTATTCAACCACATAACTGCAAATCTGTCACTTGAGGCACCTAAGCACCATACATACAAATAAATTACTTCAATTGATACATGCCATTCCCCCTCTTCCCAAGCAGTGACTTACAGGAATACAGCCTGTGTTTGTAGGTAACTGTACAGCTACACATTTTAGTGCAACTCCTTGTCATTGCACAGCATTCTAGCCATAAAAAGCTATTTTACACGAGTAAGGCTGTTTAAACCTTGAAGATCAGAGTAACTTCTTATCTGTATCTGTATAGTCTTACCTACATGGTGAGCTCTTTCAACACCTGTACCATTAAAAAAAACCAAAGGAAGGCATCTCCAACCAAAGCTGTCTACCAATACCAAAACTCTGTTTAAACAGTGACTTGCCATGGAGATCATGGAAAAGTTTACTCAACTAAGAGAAATGCAAACCATGACCCTTCTTGAGCAGAACTCTTGGTGAACTGACTGCTGTATGACAGTGACATTCACAGGGATTTGTCTCCCTTGGTCACTGAGGTGAAGCAGAACATTCTACTTTGACAAAGTTCAGCTACTCCTATGCACAATAAGATTGTGAGTTTACAAGCTATAATGCATCATTTCAGCACCTTACAAAGCAAAGCTACATATAAAAATACCAGTCCCAGGCACCAGCCTTCCACTGAAGAATTTTGGTGGGATTAATAAATTAATAAATGTACTTATCATTTCAGCTTACTGCCACCTTCTGGAATCATGTTTTACAAAGATTTCTGAACTTGACTCAGATCAGTGTGTTGGACTAGGAAAAAAAAAAAAACAACAAACAAAAACCCACACACCCACCTGACTGTATTTTAAACAGAACGTGTTGGTTTTATTCTGCTTCTCTTCCTAACATCAGCTGTTTTCTATTACAGACAGTGACTCATAAAGATAATTATATGAGATTAATCAGCCCACTAAAAATATGCACGACTACTCTGAAACTGTGTGAAGTTTATTAAGAACTTCTCCAGTCTGTCTTCATTAATATACAGTGTTTACATACAAAACACTTCAATAATTTTATACTTAGGAGATGTTTGTATTGAAGTATGCACACATAGTCACTACTTAGCAATTACTTGTATATTAAGGTTTTTTTCAATCACCATGTTTTTCAGGGCTTCCTCACTACATCTTTAAGGATTTATTAGTAAGAGAATTACTGATAATTTCAGTAACAGTTTTTGCAACACTGATTTAAATGATAATAGATTATTAAAGCCTTTCTACAAATACATTACAGAATAATTTATACTGGAACAGTCTTACAAAGATCAGCTAATCCAACCAGCCTCCAACTCGAAGCAAATCAAACTGCCTGTGACATGATCCAGTCAAGACCTAAATACTTACACAGACAGATTCTCCCTGTCTCTTCTAGGCATCCACCCCTTCTAATGTTTCACTACTTTAAAGATGAAAAATGTTGTCCTTGGGTGCAATGAGAGTTCTTGATGATGTAACATGTCTCTATTGCCTCTTGTCCTATAACTGAGCATGTCTGAAAAGAGATTGACTCTAATTCTTCTCCTTGTTTCTTCATTTAACTACTTAAAGACATCATCTCCTGTAGTCATCTCTTCTCAAGACAGACTGAACCCAGTTCTCAGCCTTTCTGTTAGCTCTCCACTGGACTTGATCCAGTACAGCAACATCTTACCTGTAACTGGGATCTTGAAACAGGACTCATAAACATGATACCCAAAGTCAAAACTTACCTTGACAGGGAGCATGTGCTTTGTCTCATACAAAGAACGGCAGATTTTCAAAATTTCATTTCCTGTCTTCTCCTTTTCCTCAGGTGGGCACCTCTGCAGCATAAAAGTCCCCAGTTTCACCCAGGGATTATCATCTATGCGTGATCTGTCCAGTAAAAAAAGAGATGTATATAGAATATAAATCTACATATACTGTTTTCTGTAGGTTGTTTCTCATGCGCGACTTAAAAGCACAACTACATGGAAGTAAGATGAAAGTTTTGAGACAAGTCACTGTCCATAATGCCATCACTCTTTCAATACAACAAAGAAATTTACACTACATGGAATTATGACATGCTTACTGCAAACCCTGAGGATTCAGACACCAGATAAAGACTGATCAAACTGGAATAGCACAGGATCTTCTCCTGGATTTACACCAGCTGATTTCCCAAGCAGAGTGGTATCAAGGGAGGGGTGACAGGAATCCAGCATTCCTAATTTTGCTTGCTTTGATCACACTGTAACAGCCTCTGTTCTCAAGTATCTGTCTCTTGCTTCTGGGAGGAAAATATATAGCCAGATTTACATTTTAATTTTCAGGTCCAATGAGTATAAACAAGAATAAACTTTTCTCCACAGCCCATCCAAAAAGGGTAAGGAAGTGAAGTCACATGCATCTGAACTCTGCTAGTAGATATGGATACAGCTACATTTGTTTTACATATTTAAAATGTTCTTTTAATTCCTCACAGAACCTCATGCTATGTCACCATTAAAGAATCAGACATCAACAGATGGCAGACAGTAGATACAAGTAAATTTCATCATGCAGGACACCAAACACAGTGTTTACTGTCAAGTTTTTTTCTGTTGCTGCAACATTTTTACATTTTTTCACCTACAGCCATTATTTGGTAGCTTGTGGAGACATTTTGGATACTTTTGTCAGGAATAGGTGTACTGGCTAGGAGTGGATGTAATGACAGAAATGGGTAACAGCCCACTTTTAACGCATAGCACAAAGCACAACACTGGAACACACCTACACTGCCATTTTTCTGATGTAAATTAAGTTGATGCATTTCAATTCCCACCTACAGTGGGCTAAAAGCATGCACAATTACAGCTTACATAATGATTGTATTAAGCCACAATAACAAAAACTCTATGTTCATCTGTGCATAAACTTAAGAAGGCACAAGAGGCATTTTAAAAATCACCCCATCAATTTCTCTGGTCAGTAATCAGCATCCCAATGACATGGTAAACTTTCCACTTTAGCTTAAAAAAAAACAAAAAAAAAAAAAAAAACAAAAACCCAAAAAAAAAAAAAAACAAAAACCCAAAAAAAAAAAAAAACAAAAACCCAAAAAAAAAAAAAAACAAAAACCCAAAAAAAAAAAAAAACAAAAAAAAACAAAAAACCAAAAAAACAAAAAAAAACCCCAAAACCACCAACAACTCACAGCAGGACCAAATGTGGCATTTTAGTATTATAATTTAGTGAAAATTAAGATACTCATTTAATACATGTGACAAGAAGCAGTAAAGTGCTGTCAAAGTGCTGCTTTTTCAAGTTATGATTTTGCAGCAATTGTTAAAGCAACACATTAATATAATTGCAAATGGAGTCTGTTAAGAAAGTCTGTTGGATTGACATACCAAGTGTCTGACAGCTCTGGAGAGGAAAACCACCAATATCTACAGTTTCATACATAAAAGCTCTCTCCTGCTCATTGTCCACTTTCAAAAGTACACACTGTAAACAAGTAAAAGCAGCCCCACATGCAGCTGTCATTACAGTCCAACACAAAAACCAGACAGAGGAGCTAGGAGTGGGAAACTCTGAATGCAAATTAAATAGAAGTCATTGTTTTTTTTCCTTCTGACAACTTAATTGAGCCTTTCCATCAGTCACAGTCACTGAGCACAGAGCTGTCAGCAGTGTGGCTGGGAACAGCAGAGCTCCTCCTCTCTGCTCCTTTCAACATGATGGGTCGAACCCCAAGATGCCAGATTATTCAACAAACACAACATGAGGCACTGAATATGTGAATCCCCAGTCAGGGCAGGAGAAGGAAAACATCCCTGCAACTTCATCTTTGCCACTGGTTAAAGGGATAGCTCCTGCTCTGTGATCCATTTCTTGCTTAGAGGCACAGAGTCAAAATTAATTTCCATTTTTTCCAATTTTCCAAATTCTATAGCTGCTGCTCCCGAAGCACATTAAGAAAATCTCTAAGAATTTTCCATTAGAAAAAGGAAACAAAAATCACACTACGAAACACAAAAATAAATGGAATAATGGAAGCCTTGCCATACACAAATTTATTTAAGTAAAGTATCAGATCATGTAGTTTACATACATAAAGCTTTACTCACCACAATTCCTTATAACTATTTCAAATACTCCTGTTCCCTATTAACAACTATCTGCTACCTCTAATTAAAACCAAAATTAAGTTACCAAAATTTGATACCTACAGGCAAAATTCAGTATTCTTCTCTCCTGAATTTTACTTCAGAAACTGTGAGTGTAAAAAATTATTTCTTATCATGAAAAAAGCAATTACTTTAAAACCACAGCAGAAACACCTAACATTTTTTTCCCGAAGCTGAAAGAGGAAAAACGGGATTAAGACTAAAAAAAGTGAACTAAAGTACTCAGTCTCTAACACTGGGGTTATTTCAGCCCCAAAACCCCTTATCAATATTTATAATAAATATCAAAAATGCCTTTTGAATGTAGGCACCAAGCTCCAAAGGACTGCAGAGCTTCAGGTACTGTCAATAATTTTTTTAAAAAACACCTTTATGAAATGTTTAAAATGACATCTGACTGTGAGCCATCTGGGTGGAGAAGCATGCATGCATAACAAGGGTATGAAAATAAAATTTTAAGAAGTGCACAGCTTTGAATGCTGACTGAAACAACCAAGCTACTCCTCTGTTCTCTCACAGTAAACACAGCATATTATGACAAGAAGAGAATCATGCTTGTGATAATAAGCATTATTTTAGCTGGAGTGTTTTAGAAAACAAGAACTCAAAAAAACATTAAGTATGGGCTTACTAACACAGAGGTTACAAAAGCTAAAAGCCTACCAAACCTCTGTTGTTTTATTTCTACTTCCTTGTAAACCTTTACAGAATGTAAATTGTGTTTTCCAGCTTTATATTCAGTTCTAAGTATCAGGTATTTACTGCTAGACTGAAAACCTAAATTCTAAGTATTCATATGACTCACACTTAAATTCCCCAGTTCCTGTAGGGATTGTTACATTGGCTGCAAACAATAAGCAATAATGACCCTACTTCTGAAGGAGAGGAGGAAGGAAATAGTAAAGAGTAAACAAACATGTTAATACATACAGTTTTAACTTCTTGATGCTTTCCTCTTTGCTCAAAAATTTGTTAATACAACTTGCTTTAAAACGAAATTGTTGAGAATACCACTTACAAAACAGTTCCTGTTCTTTACTCCCAACCATCCTAAAGATAGGCTTTTCAGGAACACACATACACATCCATACATAAACCCCTAGGCTGCTAAGATAGCTGAATGTTGTTAACATGGAATTATGGAGCAGGGGAGAAGAGAGAATAATTGTGACTGTGTAATTGCACAGAAGCCATAATAACTGCCTTAGAGTTATGACACAGGTGACCTAAGTATTTGCAGAAATTTTCACTTCCAAGATCGCTGAAGTCAAAGAGGTATCCCCCCTCGGAAATATGAGCCACAGTCAGTTGTGATTACACCGTTTTTTTCTTTCTATTCTTCACTTTAGGAAGTCAGACTGAAGGAACATAACACCAAGAGGTAGATATAATTATGTAATTTTTTTTACATCCTCTGTAACAGAACAGTGGAAAAGAACTGCCCATATACAAGAAGGGCTCTCCTTTCACAAACTCTTTCATCTTTCTGTTCAACACAAAGAAAACAGATTTTTCTAATTGCAGCAGTATTTCACTTGACCTTTTGTTCTTTAAGTTTTGTTTTTTTGTTAAAGGTAATGTGTAGATTATAAAAAAACTGACAGTTCCCACACACTGAGGCATCCAATTTTCAATTACAATCAAAACTGAAACTTAAAATGAAACATAAATTTGTGACAGATCCCACAGCAGTTCTTGTAATTCTTAATGTACTGAAAGCAATTTTTGGCTTGTAAAACTGTCACTAAAGAATTTAAGTTAATGCTTATCCAGAAATTCCAAACAAAGTGCAAGCTTGAATGAGAAAAACCTTTACAGATTACCTTGTAACCCACCAGTTCTCTATACGTACATAAGACAGTTTCTTTTCAGAAAAAGATAAACCTTAACTTTTCTGAAAAATCAATGGACATAAACACTCTGTGTGAATGTAGTCCCCTAGTTAAAATAGACTTTAAACAATACCCCTAAGTAATCCAAAATAAACACCACTTAATGACTCTAACCTAACTACTGTCAGACATGGCTAGCCAAAAATTTATTAATATTACTGCTTTCTGAAAGATATGTTATCCTTGCCTCTCCACACGAGTTTATTTGAATACTTTTATCTTAGAAATGATTAGCAGTTAAAAAATTTAGCTGTTGTATTCTAGACTTCCAAATTTATTCAGAAAGTCACAGAAAAAAACCCAAAGAACTGATAAAATATAATGTAGTCTGGATGTTCCAAATTACTACTTCCAGTTAATATCCACTTTGATGGGTGCAATTCCGAAGTCTTACAATTATTTTAATCTTAAATTGGTTTATATGCTTTCTTCAGAGACTGAAATAATAGGTAGTGGTCTAGACAAGAGAAATGCCATTTCGTGGTACCATTACCCTCCCAGGCCTCCTGCAGATTGTCTGCCACATCCATCTGAACATCATCACCTCACAGAGGCCTTTCTGCTAAGTGTAACTTTGAATGCAAAGAACCGTCAGAACTTCCTGTTCTTTTTTTATGGACTCTGTTTACACTGTTAAAAACAAGAGCAAAACATGTAGCTTGAAATTTAAGTAGACAGAACACTCTTCTGTGTAACAGTTCAGTAAATAAAAAGTTTTTCTGCCTTCCTCCATGACAGAGACTACATATGTGTATATACAGGTTTTACAAGAAACTGATTGATTCAACCTTCCTTTAAATAAACCATTTATTCCTGCCAGTATGACCCTTTCCAAAGGATGCACTCCTCCCAGCCATGTTTGAATTATTTGACTGAAAACAACATGATATCAAGCAAGACTTTGAACTCTTTTCTTATATGGCTGTTTGAAGAAACACTCACCCATTGCTCCTGTCCATTGGTGGCCAAGCCTGAAGCAACAGGACCAAGTGCTGAAACTCAGACAGACTCTGACTGGACTCCAGAAGTCCCAGGAAGAGATGGTATCTTTTTTCTTCATTTTCAATATCTGTTATCTCTACCTGAAGGATACAAAAAACAAACAAACTAACTAAACCAGATTATTTTTTTACCCCCAGAAATCAGTGATTCAAAAGCAGCTGACAAACTAATCCTTAAAGAACATCACTGTTCCAAAATAACGCAGGAAACACCATGAACATAATTTTCCCAGAAATCCATTTTCTTATCTCTCATTTCCAACTACATGCAAATAAAATGGAAGAACACAGATGTGGAATGACTTAGGTGGACATTCCTAGAACAATGTAATCTCACACAAGCACATTCTTTGATTAGTTCAGAGGATCAGATCTCTGTCTTCTTCAAGCAAACAAAAATTCCTTAAATTTCTTTTTCACAATGTACAGACCTATACACACACATTTTCAAAGAATGGCTATGTCCAGTGATTTCCTAATATGTACTACTCTCCCTCACCCATGAAAATTCAGTAGTTCGATCTGAATTTACAGGACCTCACCTTTTCTCACCTAGAAAAGAGCCTTGAAAGATGCTTCTCAATTTCTCTCCCCAGCAAAGAATGCTTGCTAACAAGTAATACAGTATTTCTCTGCACAAGTGTTTGAATCTAAGAAAAACAAAACCCCACTGCCCTATCAGCTCCTAGACAATTCTCTCTTGGGCCAAGTGCCTATCTCTGTTGCAAACCTGCAGCTTTTGCCTGGACTTGAATTCACCCTAGTTGATGACAGGTTCTTTTAAAAATTATTACTGCCTGCAGTTTCACGGTAAAAATATGCAAGGTAAAAGGTCTGACTGTCGAAGGAAGGCTGCTGTAAATGAGAACCAGCTTGCTACTAAATGAGAAGTAACTGCTGTTTAAAAGTTTGGATATCACACCAGGAGGGCTCTCATAAATGGAATAGCAATTTGCTGCCTACCTGACAGACACAAGTTTTTAGAGTTCAACAATTATTTGTTACAATAACAAAGTAGCTCCCTCTGTATTATTACACATTCTAATGCTGAACTTTCTTCCAGAGTCCAGAAACTTTCAGAATATCAACCACTTCAGTTTCATCTTATAATTCTGCTGAAGATACACAGCATTAAACGTTAACTTTTCTATTTCAGCCCAAGAAGTTCTAAGACATCAAACGTTGACAAAGTTTTCCTTAGTTCTACAGCTACTCTGAAAGATTAAAGATCGCATCCCAATCTCTTCAAAGTGGCTCTGATACATCAAGGGCAAATTTTCAAAAGAGGCTGGAAAACAAACATTACTGATGCATTTACTGAGTTGCCTACATAATCTGTGACTTTAAAATATTTACTATTGAAAAACTGTTTGCTTCTGTCTCCAGAGTATATCTGAAAGCACCATACATTTCAGATAGTGAAAAATGTTTCCTAGATCTGTCCACTTGAAATATTTTTCTTTACTGCAAATGTCACATAGCAGGCATCAGTTACCCACTTGTAATATATATACTTGATAATACATAATCATACTATATATTGAAATGACAAGGTTGAAAAGACAGTGGAGATAAACAAGAAAGGAAAAAAGGGACAGAACATGTTAACCTCTAAGGTTCCAAAAAATTTACCGTCTTAGCAAGTTAAGTACTAGCTAGACAACAGAAGCTCTCACACTGCTTACCCATCCCCAAACCACTTTCTCAGAAAACTAGCTCTTTATATACTGAAACCAAGTACATACCATTCTGGATGGCCCACTGAGTACATTTTACCATATCTTCACAGACAGCACATTACTTCAGAACACATACTTAATGTTAAGATCTTTCTAGTGAAATAAATGGCAAAGACAGGATCAATACATGAGAGAAGCTGCCAGAGAAGGTCCCATACGAGTAGCAGAGGGTAGATCAGACATCCTACTCAACGTGAACTGAATTCCAGGAATTCTGCCTAATAATGCATCTTTACAGACTTTTTGGTTTACATTTTTTTATGAGCTTAATTTATCTAGTGCCATAATTTTGTGTTTTGGACTGCTGGATCCTTGCAACATGACTGCTCATGACAGAACACATGCTAGTTCAATTGAAGTCAATCAGAACAAGTACCTTTCTCTCTCTCAGAAATGAGAGAGCATTTCTGCAGCACCTCATGACAGAACACATGCTAGTTCAATTGAAGTCAATCAGAACAAGTACCTTTCTCTTCTCAAATGAGAGAGCATTTCTGCAGCATTTCCCTCTACAATGGCATTTTTTCTAGTCACTTATGTTTCTCAATAAGAGTAATAAAAATTAAGTGAACTGTCTATGGTGTTAATGATTTGTGGTTTTTAAGAGGACTAGAGAAAATTCACTCTTTATATTCACTCTTTAGATTTATACTCTTATTTATATTCACTCTTTATACTTTTTATATGACATTTTAAATGCATGTCACTTCCCTTTAACATGAAATGAGAGATTTCAGTGATAGCTCCTTGCTGGAAGGAAGTAATATCTTGAAACAGCACGTAGGAATGAGGTTTTAATTTATATTTACTATGTGTATGTATATACATACACGTATCTAGACAGACAGATGGATCAATATAAAACACACAGAGAGAACTTAAGTTTTGCTCTGTATTACAGACTTGGCTTTCTGAGTCTGAGGGAGAGCACAGTGAGGAAGCAGACACCTCCCACAGCAGAAACAGAGCATGCTCTGTGTAAAAAGGTAGAAATTTCACCTTCAGAAAGTGAAAGCTAGCTGAGAGGAGTTGCTGTGGTTAGTCAAGCCTCTTGTTTTGTTGTAGTAACAGATTTTTAAAAATCCCCTTTTAATTGAACACTCCCTTTGTAGCAATTTTGGATGATGTATTCAGACAACTCTGAATGTTGTAACACAGGGTATTGGGACACTATCACTCTACTTCCCCTTCTTTTTTTTTAAAAAAAACAAAACCCCTAAACATCTTTCTAAACCACTCCAAAGTTAATCATGCCAAGATAACCCACCATGAACAGCTTGGAGCCCTCTTAACACAAGTGCCTGTAAAGAACCATTATTCTGTCAATAAACAGAATAATGAGGCCCACAGCCAGGCATGAACTTCAGATGACCCCAAAGAAATATGAAAAACAAGTGGAAAAAAAAAATCAAACAAAATGCAAAACAACAAGAACAAGGAAAAGGAAAACCAAGGGCTTTCAGTTTTAACAACAGATTTGCTCAATTCTGACTTGATTGTCCTCAGTTTCAGGCAGTCTCTTTGGCAGTAGAACACAGCTGGCATCGTGTTTCTCATTAAAAGGCTGCGCAAATATTTACCACAATGGGAAAGTCAATTAGGGGAATTAATTGTAGAAATTACACTCATGATAGATTATAAAGCAAAATACAAATTAAGTAAAGCCAAACCTTATGTTAAACTGTTAAAACACACAATTTCATTATTGAGGGACTACATATGCTCAGAATCAATATAAAAACATCTGCATATGTTAAAGGTTCCTTCAAAAAATCATACAGGAAATTCACAAAGCAAAATACTGGCTACACAAACAGCATGAGCTTGTCATAGTCTGAGAGATTCAGTGTTGAATTAAAAACTCTGTGCGCAATTAAAATTTCTCCTCAAATAAATCCAACTTTTCTGCCCTATGATCAAATCTTTTGGACTTACGTTAAATCTTCTAAGACTCTCTCCTCACATCCTCAGATCCTATTAGATGCCCAAAATATTGAAGGCACTCAGTTTATCGACTTTCAATGCACAAAGTTTTGACTCATGTTGTTCTACAGATTTGTTATTGCTTCATAGTCATCACCTGTGGTATGGATGAAGGAGTCCAAATATGAAAAGTTACCTCACAAGTTAGTTATGTAGCTTCTGGAAACCTTAAGTTTTACAAAAACTGTAAGAACTTGAAGAATGATAAAGTTAAATAAGACTGTGGAAATCGTACATGACTGATACAAAAAAGCCTTTGTCAAAGCAGAGGAGTGAGATAATGTACCAAACTAAAACACTGCACAATCAGCGGTTTAGTTTGGTTCATTATCTCACTCCTGAAATCAAAGTTAGTTTAAAACCAGTATTTACAGCAACTTTGGAATGTTGCTGTGTCTGAACTTCATCCTTAAGTTATAGATATCCATTAATGTAATGGTCACCTGATCCAACAGGACAGACACATCTGATAGATTTGTAAATGCTTCACTGCTAAAGCTATTTAATTTGACAATCTGGTACTGACTGACTTGGTTGATGAGAATGCCTTTTGTTTGAAAAAAATGGAAATGCCAATAAAAAGATCCAGTCAATTCAACCCTCTCCTTCCTCTGAGATAACAGAAAAATGCTATTTTTGCATGAGAATGGTGAGCAGGAAAACTAATGCAGACAGACTCCAACCTCCCTCTGCCCACTGGTATCTATTCTGCAAATTCCATTTTTACTCTGTGTTAGTGTGACAGAGCCACAGCTTTCATCAACAAATTTTGCTGACTACAAAGGAAATAAATAATAAGGATGTTTATAAATGAAACCAGAAAAATATTTTCACTATAAGTGCTTGTTTATTGAGCAAAGCTATATCCATGCTTAAAAGCAACTCCCTGTCCTCAAGGCAGAAAAATTTGCCGTTACCAAGGAATGCAACCAAAAACTTACTGTTTTACATGATTATAAAATTTATTTTATTACATCTACCAGATGGTAAATGTAAGTATTTCAAAATGTGTTCATGTTTGACACTGCAGCATAAATTTGAATTAAAATGGCATTGAAAACAGAAACACTAAGCAGGCATTTGACTGGTCCCTTATTGCTACAATAGACAATTGTTCTGCAGTTTCTCAGAACTTCCTTGTAAAACACTGATTTTATGTATCTCCCCACCCCCTTGCCCAATCTGCAGTGATAGAGAAAGAATTTATCTGTGCTGCATCTCAAAATAACAGGCAGATGTGACATCAAAGATTTTATTCAGATTTGAGATAGGGAACACTGATGCTAAAACTTCCACTCATTAGACAGGGCTTAAGGTGGTTTATAAACAACAACTAAAAGGACTGGTAGCAATTTGACT